ACTTATATCAATTAAGTTGGGACAGCAAAGACTGTGACTTAGACTTACTAGTCAGATGGAGTGTAACATCTTGGAGATGTTGTCCGACAGAACAGCCGCTCCGATTCTGATGGGGTGCAGGCCATCAGCACGGTAGAGCCTAGGTCGCTCCCAGAACAGATTCCAATTATTTACAAAGAGCAGTTTCTGTTCATTACACAATGACATTAACCATTAATTTAGTGCAAATAATCTACTGAACCTTTCCTGTCCTTGTCAGTATGTGGGAAGCGGTCCAGACACGATGATCGTTGCCTCAGGCGCTGTGCTGCGTACCGTCTCGATCAGGCTCCTGTAGTCCTTCTTCAGAACCTCCGTCTGCCGCAGCCTGATGTCGTTCGTTCCCGCATGCAGCACCACAGCTCCGACGCGCTCTTCACCGTTCAGGATCTCGGGAACCTGTGCGGCGACATCAAGAACACGAGCACCAGGAAAGCAGTGAGTGCGCACCTTACCCTTACCTGAGGTAGCACGGACATGACGGACCATGGAAGTGCCGATGATCACGGCGTCGTCGCGTTCCGACTCGCGAAGAGGGGAGAAGCGGTTCCGGGTGGAGATCTCGAAGACCGGGAGGGGCGGAGAGGTTCTTGCTCTGGTCCTGGCTCGTGTCTTCCGCTGTGGGATCACCCAGGGTCCATGGTGTTGTGTAGGTGCCGGAGTGAATGAAGCCAGAGATGATCGCGTCCTCCTGGGCAGAGAAACGCACGGAGTAGACGAAGTCGGAGTCAAAAAGTTACTAACCACTGACTTATGAGCATCGGCGCGTGACGTTTCAAGCGCTGATCGCCGATCCCGCAGCTCGGCTTGCCTCTCTAGCAGACCACGGATCTGTTTCTCCACCGATTCCAGCTCTAATCGTACCGAAATCAGCTCTAATGTGTCCTCACCTGCATTTAGAGGTAACGTTAGACACACATCCGATATGTTCGCCATTATAACAGATGAACAGTAAATTGGTAGTGATACTACCAATATCACTACTAATTTAGGACTGGAATGCTGGATATAACCGGTATCCTTTCAGTTAAACGGGTGTAAAATCAGACGGTCAATAGGCGCGAGGCCACGCGTGAAATGCTAGCGGGCTGAAAGGCTAGTAGCCGAGATTCGCAAAGTTGGATCTAAGTAGCGATATCAAAGCAATCCGATTGTTTTTTATATGGAATAGTATCGAGGATAAGTTCACACAATGTAAAAATAGAAAGTGCTTGTTTATAAATATGCTACCATCTTCTCATTTAATAGTTGTTTAAGTTTCTTTGATACCCATGGCTTATTATTTGTAAATAATTTATAGGTTTTAGTGGGCAGAACTGACTCCACACAAAAATGTATATAATCGGAGACCACATTTGTGTGAGTATCCAGATCAGGGGATTCAAATGTTTCCCACAAAGTACACATTTAAAACATCCTTGAAGGCACATAATACTCTCTTCATTCCAAATCTTTAGGTAGTGCGTTCTCGAGACACCAGGCACTGTTTTGTGTGGATGGGCGGCCGGAGCGCGTTAAGAGTTTTTTTGTTAGAGCGGTGTCGTGTTAGCGGCCCCTAAGTTAATAACTAATGAACTTCGCAAAGGAAGTGAATCAATCAAAACTAACTTTAGCTGGACAATAACTTAGGACAATACCCTAATGCTGTTGTAAAGCCTAAACAATATTTTACGGTAATTTCTATTATAACTGTAAAGCTGCTTTGAAACAATCCATACTGTTAAAAGCGCTTTATAAATTAAGGTGACTTGACTTGACTTTACAGTCTTAACCTGAGGCGTCTCTCTTTCAAGAAGTCTTTTATATTTGGGTCGAAGATTAACAACGCTATGATCAGATCCACCCAAAGGAGGTAGCGTAGAGGCAGAAAAGGCATCTTCAACGTTCCATAACACTTGTCCAATGTCTTATTTTTCCTTGTGCAACAGTTCACATACTGATAATAAGTCCTCAAACATTTCAATGAACAGTTATTAAAATCTCCTAAGATAAATTTGGGAGCATCAGGAGACAGAGTGAAAGTTGATATAACACATCAGAGACTTTAGCTGAATTTGCTAGCAGATGTATATAAACCACAGTAAAGTTAGTAAACACAGTAAAGTTTGTGGTGGTCAGCAATCAAGTGCTTCAAATAAACTGTCATGCCTAAAGTGAGACAAGGCGAAAACACAATGTTCATTATTTGAAGTAACAGTAACAACAAACTCCAGTGTTTGTATCCTGGAGGAACAATGCCACCAAACAAAAGAGGGAGGTTTTTCACAAGACATAATGTCTGAATGAAATTTAAACCAATGCTATTATCAGCACTCTCCAAAATAATCTTTGAACATGGATCCATCATGCCTTGTTACCACTGTGCAGGCTGGTGGTGGTGGTGTAATGGTGTGGGGGAGGTTTTCTTGCCACACTTTAGGCCCCTTAGTGCCAATTGGGCATCGTTTAAATGCCACGGCCTACCTAAGCATTGTTTCTGACCATGTCCATCCCTTTATGGCCACCATGTACCCATCCTCTGATGGCTACTTCCAGCAGGATAATGCACCATGTCACAAAGCTCGAATCATTTCAAATTGGTTTCTTGAAAATGACAATGAGTTCACTGTACTAAAATGCCCCCCACAGTCACCAGATCTCAACCCAATAGAGCATCTTTGGGATGTGGTGGAACGGGAGCTTCGTGCCCTGGATGTGCATCCCACAAATCTCCATCAACTGCAAGATACTATCCTATCAATATGGGCCAACATTTCTAAAGAATGCTTTCAGCACCTTGTTGAATCAATGCCACGTAGAATTAAGGCAGTTCTAAAGGCGAAAGGGGGTCAAACACAGTATTAGTATGGTGTTCCTAATAATCCTTTAGGTGAGTGTATATTAAAATGGGATATAAAACAGATTAAATATTGAGTCTGTGCATACAAATTAATATGAAATATATTACCTTAAAGATCAAAATGTATAAGTTAATATAAATATTTATTAAATGTGCAATAAATAATAACAAATGATTTTTAACAGTTAAGGTGTAATGTAATGCCACATGTAAAATCTGAAATATAAAAGTAACAAGTAAGCAAGCTGTGCCTCTGTCACAATGGTGACAGAGGCACATGGATAATGTAGAGCCTTCTGTTATCCAAATCTGCAAAGAATTAGAACATGTTGGTGTAAGAAAAAACAACAGGTACTGTAACTCAGGGTTAGAATGACTTTTACTCATTTATTATTTATTTAATTCATCTGAAATATACTGATTTTGGGAAGATCCAATGCTTCCAATGTTTGTGCTAAAACTTTAAGACTCTTCTTCAGAAAGTTCTGGACTTCTGTTGTCCTCACTCTCCTCTTCAACATCTTCCTCCAGCGTGAAGGAAGGGTCTGTGTTGACACTGCCATAGGTGCTGGTGACTGCTGCAAGTTTTTGCTGCATAATGTGCCGCTTATGTAAGATACAGCAGTATAGCCCCCTGTATCCCTCTTCGGTCAGCTCTCTAGGCGGATCTTAAGTAAAAAGTGAAGAAAATTGACATTGATAATTAGGCAGCATTTCATAAAAATACTAAACAAAAAAAATAACAGCTCATAAAGTATTGTGATTTAAAATTTTAGATTTTAAGCAATATTTACAGGAAACTATAACATCCTGGTTAGTGGCATCAACATATTTTTACATATAAAATAATAAAAAAAATTTATCGTACATACTATGGATCTTGATGTCCTCTTTAGTCTCCTGAAGGAGACTGTCCAGTTTCTCCAATGTTTTTTTTAGATATTGATAATGCTGAGTCATCTCCTTTACAATTATTATCTTCTCCTCCTCCATGCGCCTGACCAGCATGACTTGATCAAACACTCGCCTCTTCAAGCGGAGACTCACCACTATTTTTGAAAATAAAAGTGGAGGGAAAAAAAATTAAAACTCTAACACACAACATATTCAGATTTACGTCTAGCTAGTGTTCTTCATTAGGCATTTTGAGCGCCTTGAGAATAATATTGATGAAGTACTTTATAAAATGTATAAGGGTAGTAAATATAGAAAATATCCTAACTGTATCATCCCTTAAGTATGCATATAATAATGCAGGCAATACACCTAATTGACAACAACTGAAACATCACACTACAATATGACAGAAAGTTAAAGAAATGCTCATCCCAGTATTAAGATATGTTTTTTTTTAATTCAAGACATATTGAATGATGTAGGATGTCTAATTTGTAGGCATATTTATTTCATGCTTGGGTTGGATTTTGCTATTTCAGGATAGATATGGCTTTCATCTTGAATGTGTTTAGTTATTGCAGCTCTTATATAAAAAAAGTGATGACCACTACTAGTATAGAATGTGTGTTACAGGAGTAACAATAACTATCATATATTTACAGATGAAAAATAGCCTTTTGGCTAATTCTGGCTTTTTTAACCATGTTTGTTCATGTGTTTCATGAAATTGCACTGTCCCCTCTTAAATAAACAAATAAAATAAATAAATAAAAAATCAGATTATCACTATATCATATGGGAAGATTACAGATTATATTTCAGATAACAAAAGAATATATAATGTTTTATTCTTTACTGTATGTTGCACCTTTTTTACTGGGTGGCAGTGTTAAATTGCTGACGGTTATTACTTGTATTAACAATCAACTGAATTTTGTGAATTTGAAAAAACACAAAAATACAACACATTACTTACCATCTCCTTGTGCTTCCCAAGGCAGAATAAAATCATCAGAGAGACTGCATGCTGCTTCGGTGTCAATTTTCTCTTCACAGCCAGGAATGGTGTTGTACAGCACCATCTTCTCTCTAAGTGTCTTTTTGAGCTCACCAAGTTTCCTCCGTTTGTGTTGCCTTGTTTGGTTGCTGTCTGTAAGGTTAAAAAAAATTATTAGAAAAAAAAATACAAAATGCAAGTTGAGTGATGTAGTAGCAAAAACACAAGGGTTAACCCTTTTTTCAACCAACCTGACTTGGTCATGTACTTTGTAGTAAGAGCTGCCCTTGAAAGGAAGCTATTGACCTGTTCCACCTCTTCACCAACAGTGTTTCCTGCACCATCCTGGCTTCTACCGCCCCACCTAACCTGCTCCAAAGAATACGATCAAGACCTTTATCATTCAAATCTTGTTTTTGTATCCTCAATTGAATTTGGCCATGAGCAAATTTTGATGTTTAATATGTGAAAATATAAAATGTTCTGAGGTAGGATAATAATGAAAGAAAAGCTTTCACAACTGCAATTGTGCAGTTAGAACTTTTGGAAGGGTTTAGGAAGCATATCCTACAAACAGCCCTGCTGTTAAACCAGAATGATCACTGAAGGTAATGTTAACTATGTTTTAAAAGTTCTTAAGCGTTGTGTGTGTGTGAGTGTGTGTGTATATATATATATATATATATATATATATATATATATATATATATATATATATATACTGTATACACCCAACACACACACACTAAATAAGTGGTTTTAAACTTGTCTTCGAGGACCCCCAGGACTACACATTTTGTATATCTCACTTATGTCACACTTGATTTAACTCATCAGCTCATTAGTAGAGACTGCAAGACCTGAATTGGGTGGGTCACCGTGATTTTGCCAAGTAAGACATGGTCCTGGATCAACATATTTGGTTGATCCTGGATCAACATTCCTGTCCCAAAATGTAGTCCTTACCCAATCCCTACCCCTAAACCTAACCCTACCCATAACTTTTCCCTAAAATCAGAGGGTAATGAAAGGTTAATAACACTGATGTTTAAGTACTTCACTCTGGTTCTAAGCCTAAACTTGACATAAATTGTAAACATGTCCCTCAAATCTGATTGGTTGATTGGAAAGTTGATCCAGGATCAACAAAGATGTTGATCCAGGAACATGTGGTACTTGGTGAAATCAAGTTCAACGAATGAATGGGGTCGTGTCAGATAAGGGAGACATACTGTACACAATGCAGTGCTGCATTAAAGTATTTCACTAATGTGCACTATTTTTTTTTGAAACGTGCATATTTACATAGATAAAAATCAAGCTAAAATTTTCTGATGCTGCAATGATACGTTTCTAAAAACTTGCGTTAAAACGTAAACTTAACTCGCAAACTGTACCTCACATTTGCCAGTGTGAGCCTTGGCATGCATTACAGAGAGAAAAGGCTTCATCATGGTCAGTGGTTGAAGCTCAGATAACTTCTCTGCCATCTTTTCCAAATAAGGCCAGTACCTGTAATGGGAAAATTTGCAAAACTGGTAAGGAGACAAACCAGGACCTATGTGACTTGTTACCATAATAATTTTCTAATTTCATAATATATAAAATGTGTGATTTTTAGCTTGTCATGGTGTTATTCCCATGCATGGCATATATTAACAAAGGTAAAACATCAGTAAAAACTTCATTTATCATTTGGCAATGGCTATCTACCTGCAAGAAATGTCCATACAAAAGAATGTCGCATTTGCAGCTTGTGCCAGGCAGCTCCTTCTGCAGGAACATTGGGTAGGCATATATTTCACCACGGTAGTGATTCAAGCCTTGCAACAAGATTCCATGTCTACACACAGCCATTTCAAGGCCCTCTTCATCCACCTTGGCCCTGGACTTCTGTGATATTTCTCTGCCTGCTGTAAATGTTGCCGGTGCAGGACAAGTAAAAAATAAAATAAAATAAGGGTTATAGAGTTGAAGAAATCCTTACACTTAACATCTGGCTTTTTATTTGGTAACAAACGCAGATACTTTGGCATCTTGTGCGATGAACAGTCCATCAAAAAGAGATGGTTCGTCTGTCCTGTTAAATAAGAGGAATTCATCGCCAAAACAATAACATAATCATAATTAAACGTTGCATTCACCTAAATTAATATGACAATTAACCATAAAGGTGCCACACATTTTAGTCTGTATGAATTACATTTGATCTGGAACACTGTGTTTAGAGTATCAGCTTGTATTTGTCCTGTGGAAATGAATGCTGTAATTTGGCATTAACTTGTGTAAGTAAAAAACATACTGTTTACAGTAAAAAAATAAATAACACCTTTATTGTTGTTCTTGTCTTCAAGCTACAGAAGGGAGAAAAAGTTCCTGAACAATTTACCAGATTGTTGTCATAGAACTGTAATATTACAAGCTTGTTTAAAACAGTGCTATATCTTTCAAACACTTTTTAAATTGTAAAAGCATCTACGTTTAAATGTGAAGCAATCACACATACTTTCAAATAAAAGTATAATTATATAATGACTAGAGCCAACATTTTTGTGTCGAAGAAATATGTTTAGATGCCACAAAATTATTGTTCGTTTTTACAGCAATAAGGTGAAGCATAGTTTCTCTATAAATAACTATCAGTCCATCCAACCAATAGCTATACTTGCTTTTCCTTTAGAGGGTAATGGCATGGGGGGTCTAGAGCCTAACCCATCTAGCACTGGGTGAGAGGTGACGTGCAGCATGGACATATCTGCCACTCTATTGCAGGGCTACACAAAAAGACCACTGCACCACCCTACATCTAAATAAAAAAAAGATTCCATTTACCCTTTTGACTTCTTGAACCGGTAATGTTTTCTATTACCATCTGCAGATATAGCCAGCATGTCTGGTGTGCATGCTGGGCATTTAAAGGGCTCCATCAGGCACAGATCTTCTTTCTTAAAGTTGCAGAAGGCAAACTCCCGAAAGACTCTGTGGAAGGTATCACCACAAATACTACCCGTCTGGAAAGAAGGGATGGTATTATTTTGGTTAATAAAAGATTTTGAAGTCTGGAATTCAAACATTTTGGAAAGAAAACGTCTCGGTTACGGATGTAACCCTCGTTCCCTGAGTAGGGAACGGAGACGTTCCGTCGGATGACGACGAATGGGGTTTCGCTTAGAAAGCCAATCGACTTCGAGTACTACAAAATGAGCCAATGGCAAAGAAATGCCATGGGTCTGCGGAATTTGCATAGCGTAACTCCGCCTCACCTCGTGGGTATTTAAGGAGAACGCTGGCAGCAAATAGGCATGTTTCTTCGCTGAGGAGCCAAGACTGAGCTCAGGCGATCCCCGCGGTACAACGGAAAGTGGCAGGAAGACGGAACGTCTCCGTTCCCTACTCAGGGAACGAGGGTTACATCCGTAACCGAGACGTTCCCTTTCGTTGTCACTCCGAGTTCCGTCGGATGACGACGAATGGGGATACCAGTCTAATCATGCCACCTTCTCAGCTGTCTTCCAGTGCCCTGCGTAAATCTGAGATCCCTGTCGTGAGACTAGCACGGACGAAGGACTCCTATTTAGCACAGGAATACCAAGGTACACTGGGGAGCATATCCCAGATTTAGGGAAATATGCAATTACTGCCAACCCAGAGGGGGGGGACTTAAGAATACACATATGACCCGAGGGATGCATATGGGGAATCACTGGGGTGTCCAGCCGCAGGTGGTATATTTCAACCCCAGGGGTGGCAAGGTGGCTTGCCAAGGGAAAGACACATGCTCAGAGAGGCTTACAGTGGAAATACACATGTGGGGGTAACTCAGAGGAGGTACCATGCACACGGAAGGCACCTAGCCGACGCGCAGGCAATAGACACTGGCGCCAGCGTCAGCAGTGCTGGAGGAGCTCAGGGCTTTCGGGGAAAGATCATCGCACGTATCCAGTCCTGCTACCATCTCCTGAGAAGTGCACATCATCCCTGAGTGTCTGTTAGCGAGGCGCCATGCGCTAAAGCCCAAGAGGACGCCACAATCCGGGTGGAGTGTGCGGTCACACCAAGGGGGCACGGTCGACCTTGCTGCTGGTATGCCAAAGCAATGGCGTCCACTATCCAGTGAGACAACCTTTGCTTGGAGAGAGCCTTTCCCTTCAGCTTCCCACCATAACAGACAAAGAGCTGGTCTGAGGTCCTGAAACACTGCGTTCTGTCTACATAGATGCGAAGAGCACGTACTGGACAGAGCAGTGCCAAGGCTGGGTCTGCCTCCTCCGGGGGCAGCGCTTGCAGGTTCACCACCTGGTCCCGGAAGGGAGTGGTAGGAACCTTGGGCACATATCCAGGCTGGGGTCTACGGACCACCGGTTTTCTTCGGGACAATGAAGTACGGGCTGTAGAAGCCGGTCCTCATTTCGGCTGGAGGGACAGTCTCGATCGCACCCTTCGCCAGCAGGGTGGCAACCTCCGCTCTCATGATAGGGGCATTGCCACCGACCATAGTGGAGCGGACTCCCCTGAAGCGGGGAGGAGACCGCGCGAACTGAATCGCGTAGCCGAGCCTGATCGTTCGTGCGACCCAGCGGGACAGGTTGGGAAGCTCTAGCCAGGCTCCCAAGGACTGTACCAGCGGGGTCATGCGAACCACAGACTTCCCGTCGGTGGGGCAGCGAGGCGGTATGGCTGACCCAGACGTGGACGGCATAGCGGCCCGGTGTGGGGGTACAGCCATAGACCGCGTCCTGACAGAGGAGACCAGGGAAGGACGAACGTTCCACGGGGGTCTGCTCTGCCAGGGGTCTGGCGACAGAGGAGGATGAGAGCGGCACGGTCCGGGGACGGCGCGCACTGTCATCCGGCTCTGGGACAGAGGAGGACGAGGGGTGCACGGCCCGGGGGCGGCGCACTGTGTCGTCCGAGAACTCTGTGTGCTCAGGGATGAATGTGTCACTTCTTTCTTTAACCACATAAGGGTGCTGCCCACCCGAGGGTGAGCAGCGGGGAGTGGAGAACAAAAGATTCTCCCCCGGCCCTCCACCGGAGGAAGGAGTGGTCCTGCTACCATCTCCTGAGAAGTGCACATCATCCCTGAGCAGCCCGTCTCAGGAGCGCCGCTTAGCCCGGCGTTTAGCGGGGGGCGGGGCTGGAGAGGGCTGGGGCACCTTCTTACGGCTTCCTCCGCGACCGGGCCCAGGTGAAGGCTGCTGCTTGGGAGGGGCGGGAGCCGTAGGAGGGCGCCCTCGGCGGCGAACAGACTGAGTATTCTGCCCGGTCGGCTGGGTGGAGGCAGCAGCGGGCCGTCGGGGCACAATATGCTTAATAGCCTCAGTCTGTTTCTGAGCAGTCGAGAACTGTTGGGCAAAATCCTCGACTGCACCGCCGAAAAGGCCGTCTTGTGATATGGGGGTGTCGAGCAGCCGGGACCGCTCGGCATCCTTCATATCAGCAAGGTTCAGCCAGAGGTGTCTCTCCTGGACCACGGCTGTGGACATCACCAAACCCAGGGAGTGTGCGGTCACCTTCGTCGCTCGGAGAGCAAGGTCGGTGGCGGCGCGCAGCTCATTGAAGAGCCCTGGGTCTGTCCTGCCCTCGTGCATGTCCCTGAGCATCTGGGCCTGGTAGACCTGCAGAATGGCCATGGCATGCAAAGAGGTGGCTGCCTGTCCCGCAGCTCTGTAAGACTTCGCCACTAACGTAGACGAGTACCTACAGGCTTTGGATGGGTGCTTAGGCTCACCACGAGAAGAAGCGCTCTGAGGACACAGTTGCATCGCAACAGAGCGTTCAACCGGGGGGAGCCCAGTGTACCCACGGGCAGCGGCCTCATCGAGGGGAGGAAAGGCGGATGAGATCATCGAGCGGTCACGGGAAGACATGGGGGTCTTCCAGGACTTCGAGATCTCATCATGCACGTCCGGGAAGAAAGGTATCGGGGCCTGACGCGGACGGGGGTCCGCAGCCTGACCCAAATACCAATCATCCAGCCGCGAGCGCTCGGGACAGGGCGGAGGGGTCCACTCTAACCCGATGCTCGCGGCGGCTCGAGACAGCATGGCCGTCATCTCCGGATCAGACTCTGACACAACTGTGCTCACACCCGAAGGTGGCAGCTGTGATGAGTCTTCACTTCCAGAAGATTCAGACCCCCCTTGTGATGCCGCGATAGACATCGCGTCCTCCTCTGGAGCGCCAAAGGAAACCCGCGGGACACCCGAAGATGATCCCGCAGGAATCCCCTGAGCACTCACAGGTTGCAACACTGGAGAGGGTGCGGCTGGGCACGGACTGATAGTCGGCGTTTTGTTCCAAACCGTCACCCTCAGATCACCCTGGCCACCAGCCGAAGTACTAGCTCTATTTCTAGAGTCAGTAGATCGGGGTGTGGATGAGGGGGCTCTCACTCTTGCGAGATCACTGAGTCTTGATCGTAGTGCTGCGATGGTCATGTTCCCGCAGAGAGAACATGAGTCATCCACGAGCGCTGCTCTAGCGTGATCAATGCCCAAACACACTATGCAACGCTCGTGCCCATCAGAGTCGGCAACGAGTCTACCGCAACCAGAAGTGCACGGGCGAGGCATCTTTAAAAAGACGTGCCGCGTGCAAGCTCTTTTGTGAGAGGAAAGAAACTCTGACTGTGTTGAAGCGGCCGGGGAGAAACACACTCGCTGTCAAACCACAGACAGATAAGCAGGAAGTGCGCGCTCGCCGGAGATCGCCGTCACACCAACACCAGAGAATCTCGCTCGTCTTGAAGAACTGACAGTACAGGAATGCCTTGTGGAACGAAGGATCACCTTGGCTCCGAAGCGAAAACATGCCTATTTGCTGCCAGCGTTCTCCTTAAATACCCACGAGGTGAGGCGGAGTTACGCTATGCAAATTCCGCAGACCCATGGCATTTCTTTGCCATTGGCTCGTTTTGTAGTA